CCTCCTCCTCCTCCTCCCTCCTCTTGGCATCGGAACAACGTGTGTTCCCGTGATAATCGACGACGCGCGCAAAAAGAATAAGAAAAAAAGGAGACAAAATCGCTGACTCGCACGCTGATGCGTGAAACTATGCGGTGCGATTCGGTATCACGCGAACTCTTCAGCAACGGCCCCCGGTCGCAGCAACTGCGCGCGGTTTGTCTCACACAGACAGCACGGGCGGCAAGAATGTTTCTTCTTCTCAGAAGTAGCACGAAATGTACACGGGGTGAAACATCGTAGCGGTGGTATAATTAAAGGCCCCTAACAGCCCCCGTTGGGTGCAACCCGTGGATGTCAAAGGATCTTTTAGTTTGAAAAGAGGAAATGTAAGAATGGAACGCGAAAGAAAGAAAGACGGGAAGAAAAGGGAGAAAATAAAATGGCAGGAAAGAAAGAGAGGAAAAAAAAGCAACGGAGACGACCGGGTGGAGGAAGGGGGAGAAAAAGAGAGACGTCGAATTCGTCGTCTGCACGTGTTTGCAATACTGAGCCTGCAGTCTTATACTGTTTTACTTCCTATATAGCGCGCACGTATATTATATTATACTTTCTATTATTAAAGGATTCGCGGAGAGCTGAATCACGCTACACAAAAGCAATACTTTTTGCGACTTGCGACTTGAGTTTGAAGTTGAAAAGAAAAAAAATTTTTTCTCTTTTTTTTTAAACCGCGTGAAAAGTAATGTCTAGTAAAACTTCAAGTTTTAAAAAAACGAATAATGCGCTTTTCACAACGCGTAAGTAACAATTGCTGCCCGACGTTATCGATTAACAGTACACAATAACGGTTCGCGATATAACGCAGGGAATATAAGTATTTTTTTCCACTGAGTAAACGGCTGGTATGCAAGAGCCGTTATGCAAAAAGCATTAAACAAAGTGTAAACCTTGAACGTATGCCGATCATAAATTTTGCGCTAATGAGATTGTATACGAATATCTGCGCGTGTTTTGCAATATCAAATTGCAAATATCAAGAGTAAGCGCTCAAATCCGCGATAAACACTTGAGTGTGTTGCGTCGCGCGCAAAAAAAATGTCGGAAAGCAAGGTGGCCATGCGTATTCGGGAAAAGATTTGCTACGTACCTGTCGGTCGGCTCCGGCGAGGCTCGGCGAAGCGTGCATAGATAGCCTTCGTTACGGGATATTTTCACACGCGCGTTGCAGCTATATAAAGAATAATCCCGGCTCTTTTATCAGCGACTGTTGGTCTCTGATGAGAACGCACGTCGAAAATGAAAGCGGAAACGAGGGCGTACGAGCGTTGGCTCCGCTTGTACTGCGCGCTTACGTAAAAGAATCGCTGCGTAGAGAGAGAGCGTTATTCATTTCCGCTACCGATATCATTGTCGGATGATTACTATGTCGTAAAAACGTAGCGCGGTGTGTCGCGCATAACTCCAGCATGCCTGGAAAACACGCTGGAAAAAACACTATCTGATATATAAACTCTCTGCGCTTACAAGCTTTCAACATAATTTCTTCCACCGATATTATTATCGGATGATTGCTATATCGTAAAAACGGAATGCTTCGCATAGCTCAGCTCCTGGGAAATGGTGGGGAAAAAACACATCCGATATAAATTCTCTACAGCTGTGAGCTTTTAACATAATGAGACGGAGTTAGCAATGAACGACTGCTTGTGTAAACTTTTTTTTTTTTTTTTTTAAATCTCTTCGCCGAATGCAAACGTTATATTGCCTTGATGACCTTTCTAGTAACGTAAAAGATTGGAGTTTTTAATTACCATCAATTCTTTCCGACTGAAATATATTTAAAATTATATCGAGCTTTGACTAAAGACACTTTAATTTATGGCGATAATTGAAGTATCGTGTCGCTTTTAGAAGGGAAATGGAAAAGGAACGTTTGAGGGGAACGCATATGACATATTCGTGGGATTTTTCTCATCTTCCTTTATTTTACAAAACTGAAAAAAAGAAAACTTTTGCGAGAGTAACAAACTTTTGGCTTATGTGACTAGTTGTAATACTTAGCGGCAATACTAAATTAGTGCAGTGTAAGTATGTACATTTGTGTTTACAATGACTGCGCGAGACCACGCAGATCTCCTTTACAGAGCGATTGCAACTCCGATCAAGGTTCCTTTTGCTTGTCATTTTTTTTTTTATTGTGATTCAAGTCTCCGTTGAGCACGCGTTTCGCATCAAGAACGTTCCTACACGAGCTCTCCCAAAAGTGTATCGCGTCAGAAAAAGAGTGAGAAACATTATGTCCGTTTTCGAGAAGAGTGTCAATAAAGATGAATACGCGGGGAGGACAAATACGCCAAATCAAAGCTGGTAAATGTCGTCGTCATCTCGTCCTCGTAATTTCTCCGCTTAGATTTCCCGAATAATTATCCTAGTCACTAAACGTACACATATTATAGAATGTATAGTAACAAGCTGCACGTGCGCATTGTTCATCTTGCTGCGAGAACAGACGAAATTTCGACGAACGACACACACGCTTCGCTCGGCAACACCCCGTGCATATCAATGTCAATTCCAATTATCAGTACATCGTCACGCGCTCTCGCATTAAAAAGGATAATGAATAATTTAACTTACGGATTATAGATGCGTAAACGTTAAAACTACTTTAAAGATAATGCTCATAGTCTCTCACGTGGAAGACGCGGTATGGCAGGATTTCCTTTTTTTTTTGATTAGGAAGAAACCTTTGATGCAGGCCATGGCTCCTGGCTTTCCTCGGAAATCGAATGTCTTGAATATTATTTCGGGAATATTATTCCCATTCGGATCGATTTTGTCATCTCTTTTTACTATTATTTTTCACGAAAGAACAATTGACGTTTCACTATTAACGTGCCTATACCGGAAAACCATGAAGGCCTGCCACGTAAATGCAGCGCGTTTACTTATTCGGGATATATTTCGACAATAATGTATTTCGTTTTTGGGAGATGCTTGCGATGATGGTGTGTTTTAGAGAACTATGTCATTATTCCGTTATGTATATGTAATACACCACTTGGTGATAATGCGTTATGAAATCGACTTTATCTCATTGATAACGTATCTCAATGGGAAATATTTATCTTTTATTTAAACAACATTTATCGTATTAAATAGCGTTTTCGCGATGTGAAAAATTGTGATTCAAAACATTGATTGATATATTCAATTGTTTGAAGAAAAAAAAATTAGATCCCGAACAGTACGAATCGCATGGGTGTGGTGAAAAAATGTGTTACACAATGTGTTCGGTACACAATTGTGTATAAATCTTAATAAATAATTAATGCGAGAAATTACAAGGACGAAAGCTTAGTGCGCCGCACAGAATTTTTGCTTCTAAGCTGTTGTTTTCGTTTTCGTTGAGGAGATTCGTTGTTAATCTTTGTCGACACGTTGTATTGACAAGAAATTATCGTAAACTTCAGGCTCGTGAAGCTAATCAAGAAATCGGACAGGTTCATAAATCAATTCACAATCGCTTATGAATCATTGTTCGGCTTTAAAATCCGAAACGGTTTGCATCTTCCTTCAAGCCTTAAAATATACGAAGATGTTTTTCTATCTACTACAAATTGGCATACCTTGAGCTTTTGCGGAAAAAATTAAATAATTCTTATTGATCGAATACTTCGTGTGAATTCGCAATTATAAAAAAAAAAATGTCCGAATAAGAGCGGATACTTTTGCGGCAAGATTACCGTTTTCGCCAAAGAAGTATTACAACATAAAAAATATTATAATGCAAAGGAAAGATATATAATGCCCTAAATTTTAATATATTTTAATAATTCCAATGCTTTGAGCATAAAGAATAATGATATTAAAATTAATCTTTTACAGCTTAGAACTCGATTCGCCGATCAAGCCGATTAACGAAATAATCTTATTCAAATACGCAATCTACAATTACATCTCTTTCGTCCTCGAAATTTACAAATTTAATTCTATCTAAGATTGATTTCTCATAAAATTGTTTAAAGCCATCACATACATTTTATGAACGAAGTCATACGTATACATCGTGGAATATTCCTTTAAGAGTTAGTTCGCGTAATTTTGTTAGAAAGAGAAGTAACAGAAAAGAAATTGTGATCTGAAGAGATACATAGTGTATATCATGAGCGATGAGTCTCCTACAGGATGTCCTAAGAAACATTAATCTTATTTTCCTAATAATTTATATTTGAATTTTCCTTAATTTAAACGCCAGCATTATCATTATACGACTACAAAGAAAACTTAATTAGGTAACAGAATATTTCCTCCATTAATTAATAATTCCTTCTTACAGAAACATATATAATTTGGGGTTTACATTATTTAGAGAATCGAAGGATATACAAATGTATCAAAGAGAAATATATCAAATCTTTGCTAAGAAGTATAATATAGAAATAACATTCTATTCTCGGTGCAAGATGAGTCACATGATTTTTTTTTTATAAGTAATTTTTTATAATTTTACTGCAAATGAGGATGCGCAATTAATTTACGACAACAACAAAGCAATAACAATATGTTCATTATGGTTTTTAATAAAGTTTATATTAATTTAAAAGCCTTGTAAAATTATATGATTATTTAATAGTATCTCATCCGCAGTAAATGTTATAATGATTCACTGTGACTCATCCTGCATAATATTTACGTATATCAGGACAACCTGTACTTATTCCTTTGCGCGTTTCGTGAGCAGACGAATTTGATCGATGCGAGGAAGAAAAGAAAAAGAACCGTCGAAAAGGATAGTGGCGACGGCTAATTTAAAGCTAAAGTCTTCAGTATTCAGTCCATTGGAGTTTTCATACACGTGTACATGGTAAATAGGTGCACGTATGGTCGTACAGTCAGTACCGTAATCAGAACGGTAATTAATCGGAACTAATTGTCCAGAATCAGTTCGCAATTTTTCCATACTCTATAGCGATCGCAACCGATTCAATTCCGACGAATTCCGTTTGCGTTCTGAATTTGACGGACGATGAATATAAATGTTTCCGTAAAATGCAGTCCACTCTTTGAAAAGAGTATGTAAAGTTGATAATTGGAAAGATATTAAATTTTATTTGTTCGGAAATATATATTTCCGAGAACAATACGTTTTTAATATCCGAATATTAAAAAAAAAGTTGAAGATTGCAATTTTTTAAATTAATGTCATATCCGCTTTTCGCCAATTTAGCAATAACGAAACGTATATTTTATCTCGCGTTACAAAGTAATGGAAATAAACTCATCGGAATTACAACGGTTCGAATCCTGACAAGCCATAGATATAAGGTTCGCCGAAATTATATTTTATGAAAATTTCAAGAGCGACAAAGTCAAATACATGATACGAAATTAAACGCACGATGTGACAGAAATAAACCACAATTGTTGTTGTTTATTTGAATGAAATGAAAATACTTATTTGCAGTCACTGTAATCTGTCACTATTAAAGATATATGATATCGAATACAACTGCCTTCAAAATCAGAATGCCTGAAAGAATTCGGTGGATATGCAGTATTACAAAAGTATTACAAAAGACAAGAAAAACGGAATAAGAGCTAGAATTTTCTTCACAAATTTTTACGCGTATAAAAAGAAATATATAAACGTTATAAAAATCAACGAGAGCAATTCTATACTGCATATTTACCGACAAACTGAACAGACTGACAAATAATTTGCTGCATATACGTCGTTGGACGAAATCGATTTTGTCAAGAATAATGCGATTTAAGGGCTAGAAAAATAAATTAATCAACCTTGTTTTTATAAATGCACTTATAGTTCTTGCAAACTGTGACCTGCGTCACGTTTACGTCATGGCGTTCACTGAATTATTTCGTACAACTTCCCAAAACGTATGAAATAAAAAAAAAAAAAAATAGGCTCAACAACGGCGTTCTTGCTCCGTGATTCGCTCCAATTAATAGCGCGCGCCGTACTATAAACTATCATTTTAATCGTACGTACTTAATTACACGCGGTTAATTAACTAATAATCAATTGAAGTGCTGTACAGATGACGCAATGCCATACGCCGCGGTAAGGGCTACGGTGAAATTTTTAATAAATACTTCATTAAATTACATCTTACGATCCGGGGACGATCCCTGGTATACTTAAAGTTAAGATAACATCGCGCAGCAATTATACAGATTAAATGCTTACGCAAGCTTACGTATATAAATGTAGTATACGTTAATACGATGTGTGTGTGCATCGTTAATATATTATTAATAGTGTTAGTCGTGATTGGACCACTCTCGAGACTCTAGTCAATTAATATGATAATAAATTAATTATCGGTTAATTTTCTAATCCAGGCTCCCTGAAATACTACCAGATTGCAAGCAAACTGACCGAGGAGGTCAACTGTTTGCGCCAGTTCGAATTACGGCACCATTGCCGGAAAGGAAACAATCGATGAAAATAAGCGAAAAAAATGCCCTTTTTCTCGCTCTCTTTTCGTTCCTTTCGCACTTGCCGTCTCGTCGCGCATACGATAATTATATGCTCGACATCCGCGTAAATTTCGAGGAAACCCGCGAAAATCGATTTCCCGCCTCGTAAGGCATTATACTACAATGGTCTAAAACTATATACTAGCGTTACTTACGTCTAATCGGTTATTTAGTCTAACGTTCTTATCGCTATATGTACACAGTGCATTGATACGGTGGTAAGGAGCTCAGAGAGATACCTCTAGATTCATTCCTTTTTATATAATATAGAAAATATATAGACCGCAACGGTATCGCTGCTTCTCGCAACTTCCGGGAGATATATTTAATAAGGAGAAGTTAAACGTATCGTCGAATGTAACGTATTCCACTACGCTATGATAAACGCGATGATTCGCACAATTGCACAGCGCGATCCCGCAAATTACAACCGAAACATCCGAGTATATTTACCTACGCTACACACCTTCGCGCAAAGATGAGAGAAGCGGCGATACAGTCGCGGCTTCGCGATCGCTTGGATTGTGCTCTCGATATTTGGTTTCACCAATTAGAACGTGTCCGCTCGAATAAATATCTTGCTTTATTACTAAACCTCGACTAGTCGGTCGAATAGCGTGGGATCATTTTATTCGTCATCATCGTGAAACAGGACGTGAAGCGGGAAAAATATGCGTCTGAACGAATGCTTCGAGCATAAGGAGGATAGAAATGATGATTTGCAGACAAATAATTAACGGAAACTGTATCGAGCGTCTGAAATTTATATCCATTCCGTTAAAACTGCTCGACGGCCGCGATTAGGAAGCGCCTTGTGAAATTATGGGCACTCTGCTGTTTATTAATAATTTTTAACAGGTTGACTGTCGTATGATCGGTGCGACGCACATCGATCATCGCAGAATCATTGCCACGTCAGTCGGTAAAAGAAAAAGAAGCAAATGATCACAATTTATGCGGTAATGATCGGCACTCGGCAATGGCATTAGTATATTTTTTCACATCTTAACTGTACTTGCATAAAATTACTAGGAGATTATTTTCTCTCTCTTTTTCTCGACAGTCAACATGTTAAATGTTTGAAAAAAATTTACAAGCAGCGGTGAAAGTATTGTAATTTATATCCGCAGCGCTTATCGTTTCCCTCGTTTTTTACTCGCTTCACCGACATGACAATACGAATACGCTCGTCGTGATTCAGATGATTGCCGGGTGCTCGCTGCTCGATTCACGGAATCGTTTGAGTTCAGCGGTGATCGTGAAAATTGGAATGACACATACACAATGTGATTAATCGCGTTCTACGAGAGTGACTAGGTTGCACGCGCGCGCGCACGCGATCTACCTATGCTGCGAGGAACAAACGTGGTAATTGTAGGAAGCGAGAAATACAACGAGAGGTGCTGACTCGACGCGAATCCTTGAATCGTCGCCTTCAACGGCGGCACGATGATTCATACAATCGACATCTTCTTACTCCGACGTCCCGTTCGATCTTTCCTTTTTCATTCAACGCGTCGCCAGGCCGACCGCGGCCTTCGTGACTCTCTTAAGCGTGATCGATCGACTGACGATTAAAACGTAAAACGAAACAACTTTGTGACGCGAAGCGTGAAAAGCCTCAATAAATATCTCTGTGCGCGCTTCACGAGCAGCTTACGTATATAAATAATCCAGTAGTTCTCAGACACCGACTAAAGCGCACATTGGTTTCTCCTAACGCTCTTATCTTTACCGATGTAACTGCTGAGGAGATGCATTTTATTTTTTATCAGAAAAGGATACGCTCGCGCGAGAGGAACTTGGACTTGAAGCGAAATGCTTGTCTACCCCCGGGGATCGATACTCTTGCGATTCGGAACAGAAAACTTTCAAAGAGCAGCGAGTGCTTGAATAAACAAAATCCGTCGTAACGAATAACAAGCGCTGAACTCTCTCGACGAGTCGCGAAAGAAACTTTGTACGATTGCGCGTAACAACATTTCTTACTGCAGCCTGTGATGTGTCGAGGAAGTGCTCTTTTTTTTTTTTTTTTTTTCAACGGAAAGAAGGCAGGAACACGATGCAGCGATATTATTCTACTTCTAAGACCCTGATAATTACGGTGCACCTTTGTGGTGAGAGCTTCGCGGGGAAAGCAGTACACTCGACGCCGTCCGACGCAGTACGACGCGTCTTTCCTTGCCGTCTCGAAGGAAAAGCGATTATAAGCCTATGCGCGTACAATATTATCAAATATATATATGTATATATATATATATATATATATAATCTCTAATAGGAATAAATACTTACGCACGTATATATTACTTTTATAGCGACGCTGCGGCAGGATTATAACGTTACGATAAACGGATACGTTGTTGAAATTAACGTTACTTAAGTATTTAAGACAGCTCGGTATTACGTATACAGTATAAATAATTCTCTTACGTCGAAAATGCGGCATAATGATTCTTAATTACGTTTAAATGCGAGAAACGCGTCGTACTGCTGTTCGAGAACTCCGCTCGCTCGGGCGGAGGTGAGAGCATTGAGACCTGTTTTTCGGCGTACGTTACTGCACAATTGCCTATAAACCTTATCAAGTTCATTATCGGTACGCGCTACTCGTTTGCGGCAAAATATTATCGTACGCGAAAATGCTAAATTGTATTGCTATAAGTGAAATGCTCGCGCACGGTCGACCAGCGCAGCTTTCTCTCCCGACGCGTGTATGAGGATACATTACTCGAATTGCAACGGTGAATATAACACGGACAATATTTGCACACATCGTGTGTGCAGCATTTACACATATTCGATATAGATATAGGAGCGAGCGTACAAATAGTCTTCGTCGCTCGAAGCGAGCCCCAAATTTTGAAGAGCAAAATCACACTCGAGCACGCGAGATTTTATGTTATACATTTTTATATAAATAAATTTTATTTTCTTAGAAAAAGCTATACATTACTATGAGTTATAAGAAAAGTCTGCTCCTATTTACACGCTTACAGCTGCCATATATCATCGCGAACGTGTCTCGAATTTTTTTTTTCCTTTTTTCGAAAGGGCACGTAAATTTCACACGGCTATCTAATCTGGCTATCATCGCGGAGACGCTTGTATGCTTTTAATACGCCGAAAGAGGATAAACAAAGCCACCGAGAGGGGAGTACGATGTAAAATTTCACATTACACGCGCGCTTCATACCAATCCTTTCCGCAAACCGCGCTGATTGTCACGCCGGACAAAGAGATTCAGCTGATGCACCGCCCGCCGCGCAAACGTAGCGCCTGCATATTCAGGGGCCGTAATCTGAAATTTAGAGTGCTCGGGGATTACTTCGGGAGAGCGGCTCGGGTTTGTTTCGCCGCGGTACGCGTCGCAATTAAGCCGGCCGTTATTACTAATTACTGTACACTTAGTCTTGCCGTTTACGACCCATTATTACTCGGACGCAGGGGGTGCGAAACAGTTAGAAAGCCTATACGCGAAACTCAATCCGGGCACTTGATTTGCGTATCAGAACTTCGGGACTGACCCGAGATTTCCGCAATGCACGAATTCACCTCCACGCTGAGAATCGCTTAGCAATTATCGCTCGGATATCGATCGATCCGGAATGTCTCGCGTGTGAGAGCAATGTTGTTCAACTTTCAAAAATTTTCGCTATGACAAAATACTTTATGAATCAATCTGCCGTATATTTTACATTATCTCTTTTTCTTTTTCTTTCTTTTTTTTTTTTTTGTTGTCAACCGATGCTCCCAACCGGCGCGAATATTCCTCTCGGTTTCCTCTGCTATTCGATAGCAGGTTGCTCCTACTTCTCGAGACGCAGGCCGATCGATAGATGCGCAGCGACATCAGGAATTTTCTAAACTGCATATGCAAACGTTCTCGCGCGCTCTTTCTCTCCATTACAGCACGCAACTTTCCCTTATTTATTAAACACCGAAAGATTTGGCCGCTCCCTTCCGCTGGGACAACGAGACGATAACGTTGATACTGTACAATCATCTGGCAACGCGCGGATACGATATATCATAAAAAAATTCGGTCTTATACTTTCTTTCGTCATAAGCATCTCTCTATTCTCTATTTTCTACGCGTAACGTAACCGTTCTCTGAAACCTACGAGGAGGTTTTGGAAAGATTCTGTCGAACTGAAACGGATCTTGAGCGCCCTTCGAGGATGTTAATAAACGAAAAAAATTTACACACATCGTAAATTGTAATATAAATTTTCCAACGATTTAAACTTTACTTACAAGAAAAAAAAAAAAAAAAAAAAGTACATGAGAATATGTATATTTCAAAATAAACTTCAAACTTTTTAAGGAAAATCCGAGAGCAAAGTCGTTCGCGTTTCAAAATGCGCTTATTATATTAATAATATTCTATTCTACGAACCTGCAATGTCTCCGAAAACCGCAATTCCAAATTAGCATATCGGGACGATGTTCCGGCAAATGTAACTTCCCCATAATATCAATTATATTCGTGCTTTCGAGAACAGGACAGACGAAGAAACTGCAATATCGCACGAACACGGAAACCGAGGTACAAGGTGGAACATTTCGATGGCCGGCAAGATCCGCCGCAGAAATTTCAGTGTATTGCATTTCGTCTATTATCTAGTTTGTCGTTTTACTACCTACTGATTGTTTATATCACCCAATTCCGTATCTGCGAAATCTGAGGCTGAAACGTTTGCGATTCTGTGCCGTGCGAAAGAAACTTAAATGCAATCTAACCGGATTTTAGGCCCCTAAAAATTTGAAACCGCTAATCTTCTCGCCTCTTTTCTCCTCCTCCTTTCCTCTTCTTTCTAACCGTCACACTAACTTTATTATAGAGATTGTGGATCGTGGATTGTAGACACGCTCTTATTGCAATAATTACTTACGAGGTACCCGCGTTTGAGGAAGAGACTTGTGACTTTATTTACATGCGAGGGCAAAAGTTGTCTTTTAAAACACTCTCTCTTTCTCTCCCTCCCTCTCTCTCTCTCCACTCACACACACACACACACACATACACTCACACACGTACACTTTATCTTCACGTCATTCTTTATCTCTCTCGCTCTATAAATTATTACGTATTACAGGACTATGCGCGTATATTGCATCCAGTTCTATTAACTTACTGTGTATGAACTGTGTTACGAGTAACTATTTACAACCTTGAGATTACGCTGTAACGTTTCATGCGGATACGTGACAAGGAACTCTGGTTTGTATAAATCATCCTCTGGCTCGCGCGTCGCGAGTCAGTCCTGAAACAATATTCCTCGAACTTGTGCAACGATTAAGGATGGGAATAGAGCGTCTCTCTCGCGCAAACTTGCGTCGTTCGCGTCGCGTAGCATAACGTTGCGGCCTCGAGAGCGCGTTTCGGAGGTTTTGTCTCCACGTCGGCCGAACGTTAGCGCGATGCAATTTTTATATTTATGTCACATCGAACGCTTCGTGGCGGGATCGGTAAGACGTCGCGACGGAGCGAAAAGTGAAAGATATGAAGAAATCAAATATTGCGAATATAGTACCGAATTGGAAAACGGATTTGGAGAGGCGGAAGGAACTACGAATTTCGCAACTATTGTTAAAGCACGAGTAACGTTCGGGAACAGCTGCTTCAGGACTTTTATATATCCGTAATAAAAAAACAAAAAACAAACAAAAAAAAAGAATAGAAAGAAGAAGTAACTCTGAAAGGAATGAACAGTTGATGCATGGCAGAAGGATTCGGAACTTGGGGCGTGTTTGAGAAAAAAGAAACACGGGTCTGAGAAGCCTGAGTTGGCTTCCGATTAAAATAGAAACACTATGCGCCTACATTTTACTTATCTAATTGTTCGATGGCTTAGCATCTATTACGAACACACCATCTTTCCTGTATGCACTGTCGCGCGACAGTGCGGTCACCTGCATTGCTATCCACCGTCAAGATCTGATTACCGTTTGGCCCGCGACGAGAGAAGGGCACGAAAACACTTGTGTCGCCGCACCGACGAACGAACGAACGAACGAACGAGTCCAATCAACGAACGAGCGCGATTTGGTAACATCTTTTCTCGCATCTTTCGTCCGACACACAGCCCGGTCGGACCACTCGCGTATTGCCCTGAGTATTGTTTTGTACATTAATATCTACAGGCCCTTCCGCGGATTTTGTGACCAAAGGGGATTTTCAAGCAGTTACCTTTCCGCCAAGGTTTCTTTTCCCCTTCGCTTAATTATTACCGACTAATCTCATCGATCGAGTGGAACATCTTCGAAATTCGTTACATTACCAAAGTGCTGAAAGCCGTTCTTGAAGATCCGCCCCCGGCTGGTGCCCGCCTTCATTTGATCGAGCAGCGTTACGTTGTCCTCGAAGTCCTTCACCCATCTGGCAGTCTCGTGGCCCCAGTGAAATCGGATCGGCGCGGCGTTGTGGTAGACCTTCTTGATCCCCTGACTGCGTATCTCGATACCCTCGTCCGAGTGATAGAAGGATTTCTCGCAAAAGTCCTGGCCGAGGAACGGCTCCAGCTCGGCGACGATCTCCATGAAAATCGGGCGCTCGCTCGGCTTCCACTTGAAGCACTTCTCCATGATTTTCTGTATGGTCTCGGGACAGTTCCGCGGTACGTTCAACACACCCTTGCGCAGCACGTGGTGCAGCACCTCCTCGTTCGAGAAGCCCTGATACGGGATCTCGGCGAGGGTGAGTATCTCGTACAGCACGACGCCGAACGACCACACGTCCGAGTCGGACGTGAACACGCCGTCGGAGAGATTCTCCGGCGCCATCCACCGTATCGGCAACAAGCCCTTCTTGCCGATCTTGTAGTAATCGGTCTCGTAAATGTCCCGCGCCATGCCGAAGTCGCCGATCTTACAGACCAGATCTTTCGACACCATGCAGTTGCGCGCGGCCAGGTCGCGATGGACAAACTTCTTCGACTCCAGGTATGCCATGCCATCGGCGATCTCCGCCGCCATTCTTATTATCCTCGTCGCGTTCGGCACCAGCTGGGTGTCGCGTATCTTGCGCAGATACGTCTTCAGGTCGCCGTTCTCCATGAGCTCCATGATGACGAACGGCGGATTGCCCATCGAGACGACGCCCAGCAGCTTGATAATATGGCATGTGGAGAAGTTCTTCATGACCGAGGCCTCGTTGAGAAACTCGTTCTTCTCCCGCTGACTGGCGTTCTCGGAGATCGTCTTGATGGCCACTTGCACGGTACCGTCCAGATATCCACGGTACACCATGCCGAAGTTGCCCAGACCGAGTTCCTCCAGAATCTCGACGTTCTCCCTGGGCACCTCCCAGCTGTCGACCACGTACTTGGTCTCGGTGTAATCCGGATTCACGCTGGCGATCAATCGTTCCTGCGTCTTCTTCTTATGGTGACTCCTGATGAAAAACACCGCCGTGATCACGCTGATGAACACCACGACGAGGGTCAGCACTATCGCCAGGATTATCTGATTGTTGTCCGACAAGCCAACGGAGAAGTAAGTGACGCTGGTGAAGGCGCCGTCACCCGCCAGCGACGTGGAGCGCATTCTCAGACTGTACCGGCCTGGGGTGAGGTTTCTGATATAATGACTGTTGTACTTCTCCTTGCGGCCGGTGCACGGTATGCATTCCGTGCTCTTCTTCGCGTCCTTCACGTCCAGATTTGTGTACTCGATGGTGTAGGAGACGGTGAACGCGTTGGGATCTTTCACCGATTCCCAGATCACCTCGACTATCGTATCGTTGGTCACGTGGACCTTCACGTTGTGAACGTCGTCCGCGCTCAGTCGCTTCTTCGTCCGAGTGTTCGCGTACTGAATGGACGAGCACATCGGCGCGTCGCCGTCCATCTTCACGCCGCACGCGGCGATCGTGATTATGTACAGTGAATAGTGACGCAATTTCTTCAATGTGTATGAAGTATTTCGAGCGCTGACGTTGTATACAAATACCTCGGTATCCAGATGATTGATCGTGATGCTGTTGCTCACGCCGGTCGAAGCGTCCGTCGCCATTTTCTGCTTGTCTTGTGTCGGCGAGAAAGACAAGTTGTTCGCTAGATCGTAAAATTTACTCTCCGGCGTGTTGTAGTGATTGAAGACGCAATAATCCTTCCAGCCGGGCGACAAGTAACTGATGGTCATGTTCTCGTGGCAGAATATTTCGAACTGCTTGGCAGTCTTCACACCTGCGTCTTTGCAGCAAGAGCTCGGATTCGGAATCAGCGACGTCTTAATCGTCATTTCGTGCATCTCCTCCTTTTCGGCGTCGCTCGTCAACGTGTCGATGCAGTAATCCCGAGAAGAGATCAGCTCCTCGTCATCTAGTCGAACCGTACCGGAGATCATGTAATAACCTATGGGACCGTTCGAGTATATCGGCGGGCCCCACTTGAGTAGAATCTCGCTGTCGCGTATCGCGATTGAGCTTACGTTCGTCGGCATCGACGGTACCGCACTCTTCGTCCGGAAGAAGATAATCTCCGACTGACCCACCGGACTCCTCGAAGATCCAGCGATGGCGGAATCCTTGTTCTTCGCCGTGAACGTCTTCACGTACGCGGCGTACTTGGTGTACGGCTTCAGGTTATTGATGTACTTCGAAACAGTCGAGTTGAGGCTCGGTATGCCGACGTCCACGATCTGCCACGTGTTATTGCCGCACGCGTTTGCCTCGTACGTTATATTCTCGTTCTCGGTCTCTATGTAATTTAGCAAGTAATTAAGAAGTTGTTGGCCTTCGGGCGGTTTGTAGCTGTCCCAACTTAGAACCACGTGATCCGCGTCCCGCTGTTTTACCGTGATATTTATGTTGACGATGTTGCAGGCCACTTTATCGCCGTTCGATTCCGGTTGAACCTCGAGGGACGTGAAGTTAGTGATGTTCACCATTTTACCGAACTCCTCTATCTTGGAGAGACAGAGCTTAGGATTGTAATGAAAAAACAGTCTGCCGTTCTCCATCGTTATCTTTTGAGAGGGCGGGAAGAGGGAGTTGAGATTCGGATTGTCCAAAACCACCAAGCTCGCGTTGTTAATGTCCAGATTCTCACCCTTGATCACCTTGAGCTTCTTGAAGAAGCTCAATGACGTGATCGGAAAGGAGTGCGTGATCTTCAGATACTCGGTTATCTCCTCGATCAAACCAAACGCGTCCGCCAACTCGTTCATTATATTCGGATTCCCGTTTCTAATTTGAAACTCGAGAGCACCCTTCACTACCGTTATACCGCGAAAACTCTGAGCGTCCGAAATGTGGCGTATGATAGCACCGTTGCTGATTTTACGACACTGGGCTTTACAAACCCGACAGGTTGTCATCTGTAATGCAAAGTGAGAGAAGGAAATTGTAAGAGGAACTAAACATACGAATAATAATTCACAAGTGCAAGAGGCTGTCGTACATTTTTCTCGTCGATGTCATCCTCGAAACCGTCGGGACACTGAGTAAGACAGGAGCCATTGAAAGGTCGCCATGTTTGCATGTCCTCCGGTTTAGAAAATCTTCTGATGCGGTTCATCTTCTGGCAGTCGTCCTTGCTGATGCATCGTCTCGAGAGATATGCATATCTGCCGACAAATAAACCGCTGTCACAGCAAAAGCAGAGACTTCCTACTAACCAACATCATATCGTAAAAGCGCTGAGCGTCTAAAATGTAATGTACGATAGCAGGAAATATTTTAAATATTTCAGGCAAAGATATTTCCCCCTTGGAACTAAATTTGTCTTGATAAAAACCTTGTTCCACGCTCCATTTTTTCTCGAAAAATTTGCTTGATCCAACGTTTTAACACAGATTTTTAATTCAAATTTTTTTTATTACGCAAATTTAAACTAAAATAAAATGAAAAAGTTGTAGTGAAAAAAAATAATCCTCAAAGTAAACTTTTAGTAATGAAAATTCGACTTCAGACTTGTTAAAAATAAAATAATAAATAAAAAAATTTAATCATTCTCAAAATAGTTATGTGATTTTTAAACTACAAAGCTAAGCAGTTCTAGATTTACTATACATTATTCGTATTATATGTAGAATACAAGAATGTAAGAGATAAATGTAACTTTTTCTTTTTTATCTCTTTCGTATCATATATACATTCTTGTAAAAGTCACTTACAAGTCGGGCGGACAGCTTTCGATGCATCTTCCCTCGTGCCGATAATGCTTACACACATAGCAATCGCTATCGGTCGCATTGACACATTCCCCGAGGCATTGCTCATGACATCCTGATTTCTCTAGTTTCTGGCAACACTGAGCAGTCCAGCAATAACCACCAGGGCAGTGAGAGCATCCTGTACAACAGTATAAAGCATTTTCATATCGCAACTGTTGTTTCAACTATACGATATATATATAATACTTTCTAAATTGCTCTTGTAACAGCTGTATTACAAGTATTTTATCATGAATAATTTATGCATCACCTTTTTTACTAGAATATTTTGTTGAAAATTATTAATTAAAGTCGCATCCATCACCTTTCATATGTGGGCAATTCTGCTCGTTTCTATTGTCTTTGATGAAGTTCTCGCCGGCCGGCACAATGAGACTCCAATTCAAGGTATTCGTGAAGCAGAGTGCGGGATTTTTCTCGATGCGCACTCCACCGCGGGAGATCCTCGTCAGGCTGGTGAGGCCAATCTATTGGAAAAAATTTTTGCAGGTTTAGCCGCGGAATTGTGAGTCACAGGTCGAATTGCCGGTTAATTCGATTGACTGATTAACGTCACTTGACCCAGGCATTTAACCGGGTCCTAACAGCAGATTGAGGGCCATACACCTTCGAACCAACTTGATTCGGCGTGGGAATGAACGATCGCGCCATGGATCGTACGTGATGAACGAAGGTCACGTATCGCACGAATAAAAATTCCTTCGTATTTGCGCGACAAGGAAGGTGTACTCTTACGATATCTTTGCTTCAAAGTTTCAATGTTAAATTCAACGAATTCATAATTACGCGCTGAAAACTTTTAACTCTTTTACTTTCTAGATTATTCGCAATTTTTTTCTAGAATAGTTTGATAATTACAAAGTCTGTTTCTAAACTTAACTATTTGGATTAAAATCAGAATTAACACTGTCGAGATATAAAATACATCGCGTTCTCAAATATATCTCGTTCTCTTAGGAGCTGATTACAATTTTACTTTGGCGAAATTTCATTATTAGGAAAGATAAAGTAGCAAAGTAAAAACGGATGTTAAGGGAGCGGGATAAAGCAAAGAAAAAGGAATTCGAAACTCGAGCGAATCTTACCTCCTGCAAGTTCTTCATCTCGTAAATCATGAAGGCGTAGTCCGTGAGAAGTATATCGCCCCTGATGACCTCGAGATTTGGGAAAAGTCTGCCGAGGCTCTTCAGACCGTCCACGCGATACAATAAAAAGTAGCCAGTAATCTCTCTCAGTTCCGGGAAGCTAACGTTCTCGAAATCCGCCTCGGTGTTGTTCTCGATCAGCACGATTTGCAGAAAACCCTCGATCACGCGGCAATCTTTCAGTGCCGAGAAGGAATTCACGTTGTTCCTGATGTCTATGCTCTGACAGATACCGTCCGTGTTAGTTGCGTTCTTTTGCTTTCGTCCCTTATCCGACACCCCCTCGTGGAATTTCCCTCCCGGCTGGGACAGATTCGATAATTTACTAGGCTGATTGGGTTTGAACCCGTCGTCCGCGGATCTGGAACAATTGAGTTTTCATTAATTCGTATCACAGCGGGATCTTGATGGCTCGATAGACATCAAAGGGATTTCCTCGCAGCCAAGTAATTTTCTTTATTGAAGAATCAACGATTTGAATAATAAGCATAATCTCGAATGCAAACTTTATTACGCGCTTTCTCAATATTTTTCTAGTATTTCACGCGTAGTGCACATTTCAATTCTATTATTGCAATAATGAATTCTTGGATTAATTTTTTTAACGAAGCAGCTTTACAGAATTATGTTTTCTCGAAATTTTTCCTATCGTCGACTTGGAAAAACTGGTTTTTCTACCAAAATCTTGATTACTTGAATAAAATTTGGTGCAAAGCGTAATCCTAATTTAATGATAGTAAAATGAAATGTACGCACTTTATTTTCTGCTAAACTTTTAGCATTCAAGAATGTTTCTCCTTTCGAAAGGGTGAAACAAAGACACATTCCGCAGGATTAAAGGGATTACCCGCATTTAAATGATGCCCTTTGTGCACGATACCACGAATTACTCGTTCGACGACGTAAAATTAGCGAAGCGCTTAAAGGAGCTAATAACTTTAAGAAGATCAAAGAGCATTTCAACAGCCGGCGGCGCGTAGAAAAGTCGCGATCTCAACGATACTCGTAATAACCGATCTGAAGGAACTAATTAGTGAAAATAAAATCACTTAGCATTCATCATATTCAAATAAATGCCGGAGTGCGGCAATTACTTTAGAATCCACCACTTCAAGTGTTTCGAGGAAGATTGCTATCAGCAATTTTCGCTCGCGCGGCATCTTTCGCGTTTCGAAAATTTGCCGACGAATATCACGTACGTCTCCAATTACGAAAGAATTTGCTGATATATTGGGTGTTCACAAAAGTTTTGTTGCATTTTGCATCGAAAATCACGTAGGTTGCTTATAAGCGAAATTATTTAAAAGATAATATTAGATAATCTCCCCCCCCCCTTTTCTTGTATAATGTTAACGAAAATTTCATCACGTATGCAATACGAATTTTTGTTCTTTCAATATATACATACTTGTTCTCATCGATCGCTCTGTTGTTTCGGTTGTGAGCGGCCGGGCTCTCGGAAAATTTGTGGTAGTTGGTGACCGCCGAGCTCCGATCGCCATACTCATCCGAATAATCCTCCCTCATCCTGTGATGTCCTCCCTCATCGTCCTCGTCCATGTGATCGGGCTCATGCTTGCCCTTGGCGCTTTTATCCCGGTGCTTCACGGCCCTTTTCTCCTGGCAGAGCGCCAGGCCTACCACGCACAGCAGAACGATCAGCAGCAATGACTTCCTCGTCCTCATCTCCTTGTCTCATTGAACACCGCGCGCTTGAAGCCTCCCGTTGAACGTTCCCGACTTTTATCCCCCCACGTGTCGCCCCGACTACCACTTTTGTTTTCCTTGATTGATCGACGATTGATAGTCGACCCTTGCAGCCTTGTCCCCTCCTTCTTCTGCCTTCTCTCTCCTCCCACACGGAGCCTCGAGCGTCCGATTGTTATAAACTTCTTTCGGACTTCTCAGAGACGGGGATTAAAAGGACTGGAAAGCAGATTACAGTCTCCTTTGCAGTTTAAGACAAAGTTGCGCGAAACTATAAGTATGCAATAAATTTCTATCTCGTTATTATTCCGATTCGACATAAAAGAAAAAAGTGAAGACAGACGGAATATCAATCGTTTTTTCTCTCTCTTTGTTTTTGTAATTATAATTGTGTGAAATCAAATACGTGTAAATGAACAAACGAACTATGTGTGCGCCGGTTGCTTTGTAATAAGCGAGTTCAATGCGGTGATTAACCTTTTTAATTCCCGACTGCGCCAGATTGGAAATGTTTGAACAATTTGAAAATGTTGAAACAAAGTATGTAATATTAGTTTTTTAACTTTCAATATTTTTAAACAATAAAATAATATGACTTTCATTTGGAATTATTCTGCAACACGCTCAAAGTTTATCGAACGCGGACAAACATGCTCGAAAATGTTTTCTCGTTAATCCCAAAAGACGCAATCATATAGCTTTTATATGTTAAATAAATATTAGTTAATACACAATGAAATTATTATATCCGGTTTGCGTGATATAATACCTGCGGATTAAGCGGGGCGGCCGAGCGCTCTCGCGAGAAAAACTCTTCGAGTTATCCCGAATTATCCCGCGCTTTTGTTCTCCTTCTCCCTCGCAATCGATCGATCCGTCCCCGCGTTCGGCCAGGCTCGCGCGTAACCCTCTCGATTCTCCACCCCCGCAGACGGCGTTCGCTCTCCGGGTGACCGGGTTTCGAGCTCACGGATGGTATATCTTCCGGGGAATCAGAAATCTTCGAATCGCGCGGGACCCCTCGATCGCGTATAAATAGGGATGTGCACCGTGAAACGCTCCGCATGCGGAACACCAGCTGGTGCCAAAAATGTCTTCAGAGTACCTTCTTGTTGAAGATGAAGTACTTTTTGGCCCTCATAATTGTACCGTTGCTCTGTAATTATCTGTTGAACAAAAGAAATCAAAATACGACAATTAACACGAAACGTTGATATGCACTGTTATCGAAAGAGAAATCGAAATCGCAGTAGTTTCGCAATAAATTCGATACTACAAACATGTGCGAAAACATTATTTCACACGTTAATTGTTGCTGATTTATTCATTGTCACAAATACAGTTTTATTTTCGCGTGCGCGCGCGCCTTATCTCTTTATACATATTTCCATAGCGTTTTGACGATATGAAAGTTTAATTTTGGAGTTCACTGTAAAATATGTATACTTAGTGACTCTAATGCAGCATACTTTACACGCACCACTACGCTTAATTTAATTACGTAAATTTGCATAGAACGCTTGAGAAGATATTTAAGTGTATCCGCTAATTAAAGCTATAAGCCTACTAAAAACATGCCGACGTTCTAAACTAATTCATAAATCTATGCCAGACAAATTGCGCATCTGATATAATTTTCGTACTATTTTTTTGCTCGGTGTATTTTGCAACTAAATATCATATTTCAACTCTAATAAATTTTAATCATTAAAGGTATTCAAGATAAAAATACTTTTCGTTATCTTCGTTTCAATTATCATCCCTCGTCAAAAAGTAAATAACGATTTGGTTAAAATGCAAAAATGGAAATTTCTTGATGAAGGATAAAATCTGAAATTGTGTAAAATAAAAATTGCAGCATTGAACTTCGGGAAATGTACAGAGTTTGTGATATAACTTTAATTATAATTGTATTAGTATTTTCATCGATGATTTTGATGCTGCACGCTAAAATTGAAATTGCTAATGATGCCTAGCTTCCACAGGAATGTATTATATCAAAAATAATGCGGAAATTATAAATGCGTCATGTTTTATTGAAATATATTTATTATTTAATAATATATGCTCGAGATTTTACCTATTATTCCGTAATTTTCATTATGAATCTATAATTCAATCCTCTCTTTATGAACGCGCACAATGTGATTACCATATTTCGCGCAAGCAAAACTACTATATCTCGTTTATTTCAAGTAGCGACATTGTTAATATGCACATTATTTATTAGAAATATGTAACAAAAATTGCGGCAACCGGAGGCAATTTATCAAATGCATTAAATTCTATCCTGAGAGAGAGAGAGAGAGAGAGAGAGAGAGAAGAGAGAGAGAGAGAGAGAGAGTGACTTTTCAGAAAAGATGAAAGACATTTAATTTCAATTTTTCGCGAAAAGCAGTCCGGTGTCTGCAGCATATTGTGAAGTCATATCGCCGCGCGAGATCATGACGCGCTATATCGCAAATATCAGTTCGCGGTATTTTTACTTTTACCCAACCGCGTACACGCGCCCGCTTTTATCAACTTCGTACTTAATTAAAGTGTAAACTAAGTCGATTCGCTATAGGCGCCGTTGAGAACGCTCGAGTGTGTTCACTAATTAAAGCTAGATAAACTTATACGCGTCTGAGATTTTCAGTTTATCGCTGGCAAAGCAACGGGAAGTTAACGGAACCATGTCTCCTATTTTGTGTAGAACATAATTTTGACTAGAATGATATAATAACGCTAGAGCTCTTTGATAGCTGAAAATTTAAGTTTTATTAGATTAGTTTACATGCAAAGTGATTCTAAAACAAGCCATTAAAGGCAAATGCGTTCTTTGACAAGTTTAAAGCATCTTTCCACGGCATCTATATTAGCCATCCTTTCTCGTAATGTTTAAATTTTCAAGATTAAATGCCTCGTAGTCTGGTGAAAATTTAAAGTTTCTTTGAAGCGTAATGTTTGAAAATTTAGAATTAAATTACAAGCGTGATATTTTGTTATTCTCATTTTTCTATTTTTGCTACTTGTTATTCATACTTTCGAGCTTACGTTCTCGGAAAATCTTTCCTTTTCCCATTGCTTTATTTATAACACAAAAAGATGGTTGGTGCCTACACATTATCGTTAAGAAAACACCAACTGCAAACTGATTAAAAAGCACGCTTGACAGCCAAGTATGATGGCTTAATTTAGAATCACTGTGTAGATTCCATCTTGGAATCTTTGACTTGTTTTTCTCATTTTCTCACTCATCATCCTTTTCATCGGTCTTTTCTTCGTCTACCCAAGTCCCACGCGCTTATTGCGTGGCAATGCCGAATACCTACATCGACCATCTTAGATTACGACGTCAGCAACGAGGAAATTCGCGCGCACGATTCTTGGAACTTATGTCCACGCAAACGTGCGTTTGTCGAAAAAGCATTCCGCCTCGGCAAAGCAGCCTCGTAAAAGTTGTCATAAACTTCAATATCGCATCAACATATCGCGCCGACGTAAAATTGTAGAAATTTCAGTTGCGCTGGGTTTCGGCGGTGGTTGTTACGACGGTTATTGTAGCGTTCTACCGTGTTTCATAAACCTGCTTTATGAAACCAGAGTAATTTCCTTGAGGAGAAATTATTCGCGTAGATAGTCGCCAGAATTGTAGAATTATTCGCACATTTCTCCACGGTTCTGCCGTCGTAAATCGAGACAGTTGATATATATCGACGGTTTCCAAGGATTGTCAATGCCCATTTCAGCCCTTCTAGATTATGAATACGGATAATAGAATTGAGGAATATAGAGAATTTAATTTAGAGATTATTCAGGATTCCGGGGAGCTTTGAGGGAATGCTGATATTGTTCACGGTTTTACGAGACGTGTCGCGTTCACGGCGAAGTTTGCAGTGCGCGTCAAAAGCTCCGCTTCATTGAAGTAAAGTGACTTCGGCAGCGAGGAGTGATTTATGTAGACATAAAAGCCAGCGAAGAGAATCGCTGGTGTAAATCTCTTCGCTTCTGACGTCATAATCTGATGCGGTTGGATGCAAGTGGGTGGATAAACGGTGGACCCTTAATGCGAATTCTTGCTTGGATCGCGCGGGAGTTTCTGCAACTACTGTAGATAGCAGTGTCGTCGAGTGTTTGGCCGCTCGCATGGGGTGAATATCTTAATTCGCCGTATAAATATCGCGATAACAATCGATGGGAAGAGAAGGGGGAGCGCGAGGAGACTCTCTCGGCGGCGGCGGCGACGGCGGCGGCGACGGCGGCGTACTCCGTCGATTAAAAACCGGATACACGTACGATAAAACACGCGAACTTTGTAATGTTTCGCGATAAATCTTGAGCTGGGAAGCGGAAGAATATATGTCTTGTAAACTTATTTTTTTCCAGACCAGCGTGCGGAATTATGAATGATTTTCATAATAAATACATATGTATAAAATCAGTCAGGTGTAAATTTATATCTGATAAAACAAATGTAGATATCTGCGATCTTTAAAGTACAAATAGTTGTGTGTAGTTACATATGTATGTTTCATCATCACATTACCGCAATTAACTCGTTGCGCTGTTAATTCGCAATTAATCCTATTTGAAAATTGCACTCCATTTTTCAGCCCTGAATGATTCTTGTCAGTGCGAAGAGTGCTCGTAAGCGCGTTTAAATTAGCAGCACTAAGTGGCACGGAATTATGTTAATTGTAATCAATTAGTTAATGAGAAGCGGTGGAAGATTGCGAAAAACACGCGTCATTAAATTTATTTTACACATTGTTGTGCGTATCGAAGAAAAATTATACTTTCAATGAGAAGTTTGGATAAAATTTTATCCACGTTTCCATGGCATTATTCAATGCGAGCGAGCTCAGCAAGATTAAGTAATTACGGCTTATTTTCTGATTACAAGAATATAAATATGTCAAAACCGACACTTCTGGGCCGAAACCCCGTCGCTTCTCAGGTACAAGAAGCATATGGTGTTGGAATCCAAACACCGGCGCTTTTGCACTTCTCTTTTTTTTTCGCCGGCGATCTTCGCTCAAGCACGAGCGAACGGATGAAGTTGAATGTTTTTGCTGGTCGATGGAATTTCCGCACCGTGCAGCAAAATAGACAACTTCGTTGGCGTTCCGAAATTCGGAGGAAAGATGGATGGAGGTCTCCGAGTCCTCTCCGCAATGTATCGCACGATTCCGGCACGAATATCTCGAATACATATCGAATAGATCGAATACCACGGTGTAGTCGGGTCGGTGGCGAAGTCAAAAGAAGTCAGCCGCCACTTTGTAGAGAGACGCCGAGGGGAGTGACTCATGCAACTGGGTTGTGAAAAGTGTGACAGGCGAATACCGCCCGAATGGTTTACAGCATGGGAAGAGTATTTTTGAATCCCCATATTTCATACGAGGATCTAAATGTCAGTGCCTATGAGCATTCATTATTTACGATTTGTTTACTGTTATTTACTCGACTCGGTCTCTGCAGAGCAGGTATTCTCGGGGAGAAAATCAATATCGCGGACACACACGTGAGCGCAAACAAGTTACTCCGAAATACCTTACGTATCGAATCGATAAAAACAAATTTTTTTCCTTCCACAAATTCCGAGATGCTGATAACGAAAGAAACGAATAAGTGTCGAACGCTTTCACAATGCACATTCATCATTCACGCTAATTGCTACATTGTTGCGGCTCTCTTTGTAACTTTTCCGAGCGATAACCGACCACTTGAAACTATCGGCACCTCCCGCCGAATGACTCAAGTATCGATGTCCTATGTTTATATTTAAGTATATTTAGTGCGCGCTCGCGCGCGCGCACACGCGGTTGATGGATGGTTACACGCGACCGCACGACGAGAATGACGAGCGAGAAAATACCAATAACGGAAAGGGATCGACGTTACGGGCGTTGTGGTATTGCCAATCGCGCGATAAGATCGGCTTCAACGCCGTACGCATTTTCGATGATAAATGACGGCAGTTTTTGCCGCGATACTCGCGCGCTTGGTTCCATTATGCGATGTCCTTTGTCACTCTCTCTCACTCCTCCTCTCGCGGCACTCGCTCATTTTTTCCCTACCTCTCTCTCTTTCTCACACTCTCCCGTGCCCCTCCCCGCCGCGTTTCTCTCTTTCCCTCCCTCCGCCGTCTGCCCTTCATGTCTTCGCTCGACAGCCGCCAACA